TCGTAATAACCTTATATTCATTTGTTATGAAACATTTTAACATAAAATTATATTGTCACCAAAATGTAAATTTTTTTGGCAGTTTTTTAATAATTTGAAATTGGGAAAAAAACTAGAATCAAGTACATCAATCAAAAAGTGCATCTTTTGAATTTTGTGCAACAAACATCTTTCAAATAAGTTTCATTCAAAGTTGCATCTCCACAGGGAATGAAACCTTGCGAGTGGCCTTAGGCTTCACATCATCCTTGTTAGAGATAAATATCTTGTTCAACCCCAAGCCCTCAATAATGAATTATATGCTACCAATCACATGATTTATTTCTTACATGATAGAAAGTTGTTTATAAACAATTTTTATATTAATAATATTAGACATTTATATAATTATATTATTATTTTTATGCATGGAATTTGTCAAGAGTTCTAGCTACAGTGGCTTCACAATTGTGATCGTTATTTGTTTTTCTTTTATCAACCTCTAAAATACTTTTGAACATGAAAATCATTAAGCTTTCACAAAATTTTTTGAACTTTTGATCAGGACCCATAATTACCGCAAAATCTGTATTAGAAGCCGCATCCCTAATAGAAGTCGCACAGATTCTTTTTGAACAATTGAGAACCAAAAATTCGCCATTTCTCATATGTGTAGATGTTCTAACAGAAGCCGAATCTCCTCTGTTGCATTGTACCATTTTAATAGAAGCCGCGACTTATAATACAGATTTTACAGTATATGCATTTGGTCCAAAATTAAAATATAGAAAAATACATAAAATTGTGAAGATTCTTTCACAAACTTTGATGGAAAATATTATGGTGTTCCAAGTGTTGTAAACAGGCTGGATTTTCAACTCACGGTTTTCCTGTCATGTCACTGCCAGAAAATGGTATATTCTCAATGGGTGGGTTCTTCTTATTACATACATTACCATAACTATCATAACCATAGATCAATCTTTCAACATTCCCTGTGGTGAACGAGAATGCTGCTATATATAGCTTGGGGAAAAAAACAGAGAAAATTTAAGGTTAAAGTTGAACTCCGAGATGAACACAAAAATATTCGAAAATCTCTAAAAGTCAAGGAAAACAACTAAAAAGCATTAGCAAAGTGAATTTGAAAAAACTAAATAACTGGAAGTTAAAATGTTCTGCAACATTAGGACGTACTGAAAACCACTGAAATGTTGACATTTAGAAAATACTTTGAAAAATAATAATAAATGTACAACTTGTATAGGTTTTCACCAATAATGATCTAGAGTGAAAGTATTTCATAATGTATCTAAAAATTTTGCCCAGTATCATAAGACAAAAATGTCATATATTGTTGTTAATACAAATAATTAATTAAATTGCACATATGTTCATAACACGCTCAGTAGCATAACATTTAAATTTGGCTCCATGTGTTGAGTTGGCTACTCTCTCAGCTGAGCAAATGACAAATCAAACAACCTTGCATTTTAAAAACCGAAAGAAATTTAAAATTTAGATCTTTTGCTCATCTGGTTGGCATTCAAATTGCAAATACAGCACAGAAGAAACGAAGGTACTAGCATGCAAAATGAGCATTCATAATGAGAACTGAATTATCATATCGTTATTGAAGACATGCATGCATGTATGCAGCATATTGAATGACTGTTAATGCATACACCTGGACAGATGAATCTTCATACAATGTATTGTACAAATGTGTATGTACTGCTAAATTAGATTTCAAAAACTAAGATAACCTACAATTGGTACATAGCATAGAAGCATGTATGAGCTCTAATATTCCTCATATCATTGATGGCATTTCTAAAGATCAGAAATAACTAATACATCAAATTTGCTTGATTGGAAGTGCCTTTCTAATGTAAACAAACAAACAAAACCAAAAATGCATCTGTACACAGGATCATTAAAGTTACTTAGTTTGACCATAGACACACACCTCTCATTCACATAAAATGCATGCACCACTGTTACTAATAACAGAGCAAATACGCAAAATTATTTGATGTGATAACTTACCATTCCACACCAAAACAATATAAATATAATAACACATGTACAATCAGTGCATTGCCTTTGTGATAATGGCTTCCACTTCCCCTCCTCTTGTTTCTGGGTAAAGAGAAATTATATTAAAATGATTTTGTGTGAGAAACAGACATGTTGGTGACAATCACTATTTGTTCTTTATATTTTATTTATAATTAGATCATACATTCACTCAGTTTCATAGGGGCATGAATGTTTGTAAAACATTTTATAATTGTTTTAAAATTTATAAATTAATATTGAAAACAACCAATTACAATGCTTAAATATATGAACTTATAGTACTAGTAGCTAGCTAGCAACATAGGAAGTAATGCAGGAAAATATTATGTTGAATGAAAGCAAACGTGTAAACTGTATGTGTGACTCGAACAGACAAGTTTTTAGGGATGCCTGGTGGTCGAAAAACATGAATGTCACAGCTTTACCTTTTTTTGTAGTAAGAATTTTGAGAAAAACAAACAAAGAAACAGTTTTCATGAAAATTTACTGGCAATTTCAGAATAAAAATAAAAAGTTGTCTGCACATGTCGATTTTCAAAAAAAAATGTTTCCAGAAACATTACTCTTCTTTTTCAATGTTACGTGTTATCAAAATAGATGTAACATCTGGCGACTATTTAGTTTGCATAAAACATCAACTGTAAAAATCAGTTTACTTCCTAGATGTTGTAGAGCGGATTAAGTGAATTACGTCAGTGACTATCAAAGGATTTGAATAAACTCAACATCTCTCCATCCAACCACTCTTTCAGAAAAATCAATTATAACATGAAATATCACATGACCCTATACTGTAAATTGTAATTAATTTTTGTGATTTGTTTATTTATTGATGAGGACTCATTTTTTTTAAGTTCCCAGTCAAATGTTATATTCAAAGATGTGCAAAATTTACAGAAATTCAACTACCTAAAAATTGAAATAGTTTCAACAGTATCATTCACAGTTTTCCCAGGTTCTCCATGGGCATTATAGCGTAGGGGTTCCCAACCGCCAAATTTTGGATGAAAAAATAGATCCAATTTAGCACAACAATGAATATAATAGATGTGCTAAACATATTATATTGTTATGCAAGTCAGCCAATATTCC